CATCTTTGAAATTTCTATTTCACAGGTATCAGGGGCTAAACATAAGAAAAATATTTGTCTTACAGGTGGAATCTCTTGTGTAAGTGTTTTGGAGCCACTTGGATTGGGGTTTTGGGTTTTGGTGCGCATAAAAGATCGCACTTCCTTTTGGTTACTTCGGGATCCATTGCTGCAATAATGGAGGCCAGCACGGCGGCAATTCGAACAAGAAACTTATGAAGTGAAGTCTTCACATGTATTGTGGGCAACACTTTCGCATAGCCAAAAATATATGCTAGCTAGGGACGATAAAGTCGGCTTTTTGAACGATTTAAATTTGCAGACTGTGGGAGATTCCGTAAATAAAAATGATTTTGGATTCAATCTTCTATAAATGTACCAACACTGCTAGTAATGAAATATATGTAAGTGAGCAAGGCTTATTAAAGAGACAGAGTGAGAGCGCTACTTACAAATAAACACAAAGTATAATATGATAAATACAAATAGAAAAATGCAGAAAGTAAACTGCAAAGACGTAAAGAACAAATAAAGTAAAAGAGCAGAACTAGATTCATTTATTTATTTTTTTTACATGGCTACAAAATAACAATTTACAAACTAATACATAATAATACAATACAAATACAAACATAATAGGTGCCTGATTAACAACAATTTAGAGGCTAGGCGGCAAACAGTTAAAATATGAAAGATCCCGCTCAATCGGCTCATTTAAAACATAATTGGCCCTGTGACACTTGGTCCGAAAGGGGGCAAAGGTACGAAGATCCCTTTGAGGATCATTCAAATTAATGAGTCGCAGAATATAGTCTAAATGACCAGAAAATTTAAATTTTCTGTCGAATAAGACACCAAGATCTAATACCTCCTCTTAAGCTGCCAAACAATAATTATTGATAGGTTAGTGTAGATGTCAAGAGACCGCTTACTGTAACGGGTAAACAGACATTTTGATAAGTTGAATGGAAGAAGATTACGGGAGCACCGTCCTCCTATAACAAGTAACTGTCACTAATGCAACTAATGGCTATATACATTTTAAGGTCATCCGCATACATTAAGAAGTAGGAAGGACGAAAGCATGATACAATTATACAAGGTAGTCCATTCGGCTGACAAATCGGTCGGGTTTTGGTCCCTTAATTTCAGTGCGTGCCTACTTGTCACACCGAAAGGTGACTTTTTTTCAAAACTTTAACCTTTAAGTGGCCAAGAAAAAAAAAGACTTTTTCCAGTTCTTGTCACAAGCACGTGCTAGGCGTAAAGTTTGTTTTTTTTTTATTGCGATTTTTTATAACTAAAAATTTAAAACAGACATTGTTAAACGCCGCTGAGCAGGTCGAGATTAGTGTAAATATAAAAAATTGTATAATTGTATCATGGACGAAAGAATGAAGAAATATCATTAATGACAAGAAAAGAAAGCTAACTTCGGGCGGAGCCGAAGTTTATATACCCTTGCAGTTAAAACCAGTTATATATCACTAAAATCGGATATATGTAGTTGCCCGATTCTTATGAGAATATCATAATACAACCAATTTATTACATAAAGAATCTAAAAAAAGTCCCAAACTTCTATCTTCAATAACACTAAGGAGCCGTTGCGACTTATATACTGTGTGCAAAGAAAAGAAGGGGGTGTCCAAAGTTTCAAGTCGATAGCTTTAAAACTGAGAGACTAGTTCGCGTAGACAGACACAGACAGACAGACGGACAGACGGACATGCTAATATCAACTCAGGAGGTGATTCTGATCAAGAATATATATACTTTATAGGGTGGGAGATGTTTCCTTCATTGCGTTGCACACTTTTGCCCAAAATTTTTAATACCCTCTGCAAAGGTATAAATATAATAAATAGGAGAGGTCCCAGAGAGCTGCCTTCTGGAAGACCAGAGGAGGTGATTTGGATTAAAAAATTATGTATATAAGTTCGTATAGTTCTCACCCAAATATGTAAAAATAAGGTTAAATTAAAATCATATGGTTACAAAGAAACACGAGCGTTTGCTATAAAGAGAAAGATTAAAGCTTTGATGCCAAATTATTCCTGGAAATTTCTAGAAAATTTATATCTACGAGCTATTCAACCGAATCTTGATTTTTAAAGGATTTAGGGAGCCCCAATAATTCAACTACTCAACAAACATTTTTTTATTGGAATCTATTTTTTATGGTCGGTACTGCTAGAGTTGTCTCTCTACAGGTAGTATTAGACTCTAGAATCTGTCCATCCGCGTGGTCAACTATAAACGTAATTTAGCAGCACGAGGTGTGCTTTTATACCCATAGAGTCCAAGTTTATTTACTATTGGATCCTTTATTTTTGAATTATTGTTCCATCTTTTTCCATCTTTTTTTAATAATATTGTTTCCTTTTTTTAATTCCTTTTGGTAATCCGCGTCAAAGTTACTAAACTGATAGCAACAGCTAATTTATACCTAACCCTGATAAAACAATCTGATCACGATTGGAAGTATTTCGGTATTGCCCGTGAAACTAAATGTTAAACAACAACCTTATTCGTTAATCTTTTTTGTTTCACAAAATTATTTATGTATGTCGACTCTATTAAATCATGTCTAACCATTACATCACTATACTATTAGATGATTGAATTTTAATATTAAAACGGAGTAACAGAGAGCCTTAACATCACTGCAAATAAGTCTCTTATTTAAATCTTTTTTATGTTTTCATAGGTTTATGTTTTTATATTATTTATGTAAATAACCTTCCTAGCAATTTTTTGAGATTATCGAATTGGTTGTGATTGCTTGATCAGAATCGTAAGTTAAATCTATAATTGAAATTAAATGTTAATATTGATGAATACTTTTGCTCATTTTTTAAATAAATTTCTCGTCGGTTGCTAATTTTCTGTCAACATAACCATAAAAATTGACATACACAACCTAGATAAAGCCGAAAGTTAAAGATAATGTAGCGCAAAAATGTGTGAAATTTTTCTGTTTCCCTTATCAGGTAAACTCACGAGTCGCTGCCAACAGGCAGAAACACAGCATGGGAATTGCTTATTTCAGTCTTGCAGTGCACCTATCTCTTATCTCCGGTCTTGACAAATGGATGAGGGCCTACTTTAATTGCATCAGATATTAGGCGAATGAAATTATATGGTTTTACCGACCCAGGCCGACTTTGCACTAAGCCAACTCATGAGTGCCTATTCTTGACGTTTTTTCTATCCCAAAAATTCACGAGTGTCTAATATTTCAACGTCTGGCACTTGGATAGAGATAATGTATCGTACGCTTCAGAAGTCTTGGGAGGATTATAAAGATTGACTAATTGTTACGCCCCGTCTGGGCATTTAACATTATAATCATACTTGATCGCATCGAGCCAAGAAAATATGTAATAAAATTGAGAAAATATTTACCACCTTATTGTGGGTCATATAATTATGTGAAAAAGAAAGGAAACTTTTATAGAGTTTTCAATGATCGACTCAGTTAGAATGGCAAAAGGATTATAAAATGTTTGGGAAATTTTTTTGGCGTTGGCATTTGGTCACTATGGAGAGCCATAGGGCTAAACACAATCGTACGGAAATCGTAAACGTTAGACCCCAGATGAGAGGTTATAAATTAAAGAGCAAATACATTGTTAAGCCCATAAATCGATTGGACATTTCACAACGATATTGCCAGTATTATAGAAATAGTCGGCCGGGGTGGAATTGATAGTAAAAGCGATATTACTCATTAGGTGAAAGACCAATCATACTCACTTATACTAACATCATGAGTAAATACGTATATAAGGAGGTGTGAAATTATTTATCCGGTCCATGGATAGTTTAAATATTTGGAGACAATCAAATCGAATTAGCAATCAATTAGGCTTCTTTGGACCTGGCACCATTAACTGACAGTTATGTCGTCACAAAATAACCAACTGACGTCAATACTTTCCAGGCCCCTAAGAATTTTAGTTTCAATAAACTAAAAAAGGATGTTATGATTTGAATTTGTTATCAATATTTAATTATAATAATAAATATATATAATTAATCCGTATGACTCAAAAACATATGTAACTTAAAGATTTTTGGCCCATTGAAAAATTTGTTTTTCATATTTGACTGCCCATTAGTCCCTTATAAAAGCCGGTCTTGACGCGTCTATGTCGGGTCTGCAGCAAGCAAGTTATTTTTCAAGTCATGGATTGGCCCGGGGCTTTGCCATAGAGTGGAATTTTTTTAGGTTTTTATACAAAAAACTAAGGTCGTTAAACGTCTGTTTGGCTAAGAATTTATTGAAAAAAAGCAAAGTAACTTGTGCAGAAAAAATGCGTTTCAGTAAGCTAGCGTATTTTGTCAATGTGGCCGGCTCTGACTACTTCAGCTGCGCAAACGATGCGAGAGGTTGAGGCAGCTGCCAAGTGTTTCGAGAATACTTAAACGTATTGCTATCATCGAAGGGTGCCGCCCAGTGGGTCAAGGGCGATCCTCAGGTGTTGCTAGTTATCCACTACCTAAGAGCACATTGTCGCACGCGTTCAATGGCCTAAAGTTTACGCGAGTTGTTACATTGTTTACATCTTACGACCTGTTGGCAACTTAAATTCACGGTTAACGCTCAAATCACATTTTGTGGAATTTAGACGTGACTGGCAAACGTGCGGGCTGGGGAATGTGTCTAGAAAAAGCTCCAATGAGATATGCCCCGAATTTCTTAGTAATGGCTAATCAATGGCACGAGCGCCTGCGATGGCCGCAATTAAGTTATCGCAGTGACGTCAGACGGTGGAGCAGCAACTAGGCGATTGCACCTGTTAACACCCGCTATCATACTCTGTATTTATGTATGATAAAGTTGTTGGTCGAGTTCAACACTCGGCTTCAAGTCTAAATCCGATAGCTGAACGACGTTCGGAAACTAATTCGAATCTAAAAACGAATCGGATTGAACCGGAAAGCCAATGAGAAGTAGTCGCTGCTTCGAACTCGTGGGGAAAAAGTTATTAACAATCGGTCGCAGCGTCGCGTTAAAAAATCAGGGGCCAAAAGCGAAACCCAAAGCTTTAACCGTTCCGCCGCCAGAGCTCTGGGATCAGAAGCACTTTGGAGTGCGTTCCGCGCGGTAACTTGATCGGCGTTATTTTTTTTAGCTTTTTATTCAAACGAGTCCAGAGTAAAGCGGTACGTCGGTTAATTTGATACTCTGAAAAAGAAAAAGGGAAAAGTACGTGAATTTCAGGTGATATATCAAGCCAGTTTGGCAAAATTAAAAATTAATTTGTACCTTTTCAATAAGAACGTGATATTTTGTGCTAAAGATTGTATTGTCCTACATTCTGTTATTCGATTGGCTAAGAGTAATTCGTCTATTTTCATATTTTACAATGGCGTGGTAAATTTTTAAGAGAATAAATCAGGGAAGTTCTGTGATTTTCGGAAGTATGAATCTTAAAAACAAATGTAGGCCCATGTATATTGGCCGTTAATATGAAAAGATAAAGTAATGTGGGAATACATATGTATGTACATACATATGTGGGACACCACTGTCGTGATTAACATTTTGGTTCATATAGTACGATTTGTAGTTCTGCATGGGTTTTAACGGCTAATTCCATGCTTGAATGTCGAATTTAAATAAATGTTTTAAACCGCAGCTGAAACTCGGGGATACACTCTTATTTTTATAGCTGAACCGAGAACCTTCGATTAATAGATATGGCATTAAAAACATGTTTTGTTCATTGGGGATTAGGTATGTAGACGTATGTAAGTACCGGACATGTGGGTTGTAGCAGCAACTTTACGACAATAAAAGCTGGCTGAATTTTAATCAGTGTGTTCAAATAGCCTAGAACCCTCCAAGCTCTTCTCAATGACAACTTCAATTTTCAGCGATTTTAAGTTTTAATCAAGCTTTCCATTAATAACCGTTCGTGATTAGATAAAAACATGGCGCGTGCTCATCTAACACTTAAAGTGGCCAATAGAGGTTGTGCAAATGGAAGTAATTTACAATGACTTATTCCGATGGTTACAAACAGTGTATAACACAGTGCGACAAAAAAAGAAAAATTGGAGAAACTTTTGAAGAGACCTAGTAGGAATTGTTCATTAGGTCGAGTATAGTATAAAACCATGTTTGAAATTTTTCAAACACCCTCAAAATCTTGATTTATTTGGAAAAAACGGTTTTTCGGGACTTTTTTGCTCTTAAAAATTCCTAAACGCGGAATTTTAAACCGATTTTAAACTTTTTTTCAACAATTCAACAGTATAACTTCAACAATTTTTTTAATTTCCTAATGAAGTTGGGAAAATTAGCTCGTGAAGCTCGTTTTATTCAGAATTAACGATACAATATTGATATGTGTCAAAAATGATACCATTTCTTGGAAGTTGTACCGAAAAAATGGCGTCAAAGTCCGAAAAAACACTACAAAAATTCAAAAATATCAGTTTCTTGCGTAAAAATTTTATACTTTTTGTGAAATAAATTAAAGATGTATTTTTTTTTCAAAAGCTCCAACATTTAACTATTGAAAAACGAAAAAAAAATTTTAAAATCGGTTTCAAATTCCGCGTTTAGGAATTTTTAAGAGCAAAAAAGTCCCGAAAAACCGTTTTTTTCCAAATAAATCAAGATTTTGAGGGTGTTTGAAAATTTTAAAAAAGTTTTTATACTATACTCGACCTAATGAACAATTCCTACCAGGTCTCTTCAAAAGTTCCAAATCACTGTCGCACTGTGTAATGGGAAGCAAAAGCACTGTATTGTTAATCCAAAATGAAATTTTAGAGTTAGGATATTGCTATTATTTCTATAAAACTTTTACATACTAAAATGTTAGTTTCCAGGTTTAGTTAAGATTTTCGCCTTTAATTTTTAAATTTGAGATATCTAAGAAGGCTCGTAAGATTTAGAAGGAATTACACTTTGCTCGTCCTTTTATTTTAAGAAAATTTTCAGTGCAGATTAAGAACAGAATAAACATTTTTATAATTTTGTAAATACACAAAATTTTTATGTTGTTATACCCTTGGTATGAATTATATATTTATTTATAGGAGACATATATATAGAGTATATATATTCTTGATCAGGATCACCTCCTGAGTTGATATAAGCATGTCCGTCGGTGCATCTGTCTGTCTGTTTCTACGCAAACTAGTCTCTCATTTTTACAGATATCGACTTGAAACTTTGCACACACCCTTCTTTCCTTTGCACGCAGTATATAAGTCGGAACGGCCGGATCGGTCGACTATATCCTACAGCTGTCATATAACTGATTGATCGGAAATGGTATAACTTTGGTCTTTTTAGAGTTAGAAAATTTTGGCAAAATAATACGACCTACCAAATTTAACAAGGATCGGCCGACTATATCCTATAGCTGCCATATAACTGAACAATTGGAAATAACGCAACCTTTGTGTTTTTGAAGATAGAAAGTTTGAACATCGTACAGAACATCGTACAGATTATATTTCCAAATTTCATAACGATAGGACAACTATGTTATAGCTGCCATATAACTGAACGATAAGAAATGGTATTTGTTGTTTAGTAAAAATACCAACTTTGGTTTTTTTGAAGATATGTTAGAAGCTTGGGACTTTTTTTTAAAGATTTTTAATTGTAATTAATTGATTTATTATGATATTCTCATAAAGATTGGCAAACTTTATCCGATTTTTCGATATATATCCGGTTTTAACTGCAGGGGTATATAAACTTCGGCTCCGCCCGAAGTTAGCTTTCCTTTCTTGTTTTTTTGTGAATCAATTAATGCTATTTTTATACCCGGTACTCGTAGAAGAAAAGGGTAAATTGTAGCCGTTTGAATTTATGTGACATAGAGAAGGAATCATCGCCGACCCCATAAAATATATTCTTGATCATCATCAACAGCCGAGTATTAACGCATATAGGATTTGACATGGAGACTCCTACAATGCCCAAGCATTTCAAGTTTGTTTTGAAATGTTGATGCCAAACTATTTCTAAAGTTAATATATATCTGAAAAACAAATTTGATCGAAATCGGATTTTTAGAGGAGATGTGCTCATATCTCGGGTAAAGGTTAAAATTTTGAGCAAGATAGAGGACTATAAGAGATATAGCTAACAGATTTGGAACTCGTATGGTATCAGTTCAGATAAAATTTTTGTCAAATTTTTTCCATTTTTAGAGAAGTTATATACTTTTTTAATCTGCTTCCCTACTGAATCGTTAGTATGGCCGTAGACTTTTTTGCCCAAGCGCAAAAGTGTGCACCAAAAATTTGTTGCCAAGAATTCATACATTTAAAGTTAAAACCATAAAGGTTTTAACCATAAAGGTTTTAAAGGTTCCATATTGTTAAATTGTGGAAATAAGAGACGAGTACCGGGTATAATATAGTCGGAAAACTCGACTATAGCCGTCCTTTCTTGTTCTTTTTGTAAGCCCGATTTTATGAGCCAAAAATATTAGGCAATTAACCGTTGACATAAGAAAATTGGACCTCTTTCGATATCGGATAATTTCTCACCGCGACACATTTTGTATTTAATATTCAGAAAATAATCAAATTAAAAATTGTACCTGAATTTCATCACATATTTTAAAAAGTTGAACATATTCTGTTAATCCGAAAAATGCATAGACCTTTTCAAAGTAGATTATAAAACAAAATACCTACAATCAAAGCAACAACACATCGAAGAATGAAAACACTACTATGTACTACATACATATGTGCCCAACATAGAGGGTGGTCCGTTTATTTTATGTATCTGTTTCCATTTTGCAATGGTACACAATAAAATTACTTAAATTATTAATTATTACATATAAATTTTTAATTATAATTAACAATTCTGTCTCTTTATTCTATTCTTAGTCATGGCCAAACTCTGGAGAGCACTTACGCGCCGCAAGACGGAGGACGTGAACGAAGGGGAGTCCCAGCTGGCCCGAGTGCTCAATCTTTTTGATCTGACAGCCTTGGGTGTGGGCAGTACCTTAGGACTGGGTGTCTATGTCCTAGCCGGCCAAGTAGCGTATAACATCGCTGGTCCTGCTGTGACCATATCCTTTCTGATCGCAGCCATCGCGTCGGCTTTTGCGGGTATCTGCTACGCTGAGTTTGCAGCACGCGTTCCCAAGGCAGGGAGTGCCTATGTTTACAGTTATGTTACCATTGGCGAATTCGTAGCTTTCACCATTGGATGGAACCTTATACTTGAATACGTTATTGGCACTGCTTCAGTGGCTCGCGGTCTTAGTGGTTATTTTGACTCGTTAATTAATAATGATATGTCAAAAGCGTTAAACGAGTCGATGCACATAAACGTAGATTTTCTGGGAGACTATCCGGACTTCCTGTCGTTTGGGATGGTATTGCTGCTTGCCGCTATTTTGGCATTTGGCGCCAAGGAGTCTAGTTTTTTGAACAATATTTTTACCACCGTCAACTTAGTGACGATCTGCATTGTGCTGGTGGCCGGGGCAATGAATGGTAAGTTTTTCAATATTTTCTTATTCGACGTCCTTGGCAATAATTGAAACTTTTTCCCACAGCTAAAGTAGACAACTGGCGCATTCCGGAAAAGGATGTGCCCGAGGGTTTCGGTACCGGTGGCTTTATGCCGTTCGGTATCGCTGGAGTTATGGCAGGCGCAGCCAAATGCTTTTATGGTTTTGTTGGCTTTGACTGTATTGCCACTACCGGCGAAGAAGCTATCAACCCCAAGCGTAACATTCCGTTGTCCATTGTAGTTTCACTGATTATTATATTCCTGTCCTACTTCGGTGTTTCAACGGTTCTAACTATGATGTTGCCGTATTACCTGCAGGATAAAGATGCACCTTTCCCTCACGCCTTTGATTCCGTTGAGTGGTATACGATCAAATGGATTGTGACTATCGGTGCTGTCTTTGCTCTTTGCACTAGTTTACTGGGAGCTATGTTTCCCCTGCCGCGCATCCTATACGCAATGGGAAATGACGGCATCCTTTTCAAGAAGCTGTCGACCGTGAACAGCTATACGAAGACGCCTCTTTTGGCCACCGTCGTGTCCGGCATATTTGCATGTAAGTTAACCGTTGCTATCTGGCCACCGGCGTTATTCTAAACCATTTTTACGTCTTCTTTCTGCAGCTATTATGGCCTTGCTGTTCAACCTAGACCAACTGGTCGACATGATGTCCATTGGCACATTGCTTGCTTATACCATAGTAGCGATTTGTGTTCTCGTGCTGCGTTATCAGGACGAGGAGATGACTAAAGTAGTGTCCGTAAAAGCTCCAAACGTGTTTCGACAATTCTTTAATGGAAACTCTTACCGTGAGCCCAATTCGATGACCTCAGCTATCACAAAGATTGGCATCGTGGTTTTTGCCGTCTTTTGCCTAGTATGGTGCTCATTTCAAAAGGTATTTGAGCTGGGCTCTACCGGAGGAATCGTATCTTTGAGTTTAGTAGGAGTGGTGTTAATTCTAATATGCATCGTGATTGGAATGCAGCCGGTTTCGACCATCGAGCTTACTTTCAAAGTACCCCTGGTGCCTTTCGTACCCTGCTTGAGCGTGTTTGCGAACTTGTACCTAATGTTCCAGCTGGACTTGAACACATGGATTCGCTTTCTTATCTGGATTGTTATTGGTTATGTAATCTACTTCTGCTATGGGATGCGCAATTCTACCCAAATTTCCCGGGCCCGCAATCACGCAGAACTGGCCGCCAACGCAATGCAAAACCAGGGTCAACATGAGAATCCCGCTTTTGAACCGGACGTCAAGGTGGAAACTGGTAGACTACCGCCACCGTATGAATTTTCAGAAAAGCTGTAGGCGTAACCCTAATGTATTATCGCCCCCCTTCCCTCTTAGGTCACACTGTTTTTCTTAAAATTTATTCGCTCTTAAACCTTCGGTTTCTTAAACCTTAGCTAGCACGCTTATGTGAGAGAGATAAATAGATTGCGCATAGAAATTAAACAAATTTACACATGATTTTTAAAATTTACAAATTAAGTCGTGAAAATTTGTTATTTCTATGTGCGTAGAGAGAGTTCATAACATACTCTATTTTACCATTTCACTGATTTCTTGTCATTCTTTTAAAGTCCCCACGAACTAGCTTTGCAGTGTTGTCCGTACATTGTGATATTTGTAAAGTAATATTACTATTTCTTGATAAAATATTAATGTTAAAGTAATATTGGTCGTATATTTGTCACAATTAATATAATTTTCGGGGTGTCGAAAAAATATGAGAAACAGGACATTGTTACCTCTCCGCCATCCCGCCATTCAAAAATGATTTTAGTTGCTGAAAATATAGAAAAAATGTATTATTTAAGAATAAGTAAAAAAGATTTTAAAATTTGTTATTAAAAATATTTTTGTAAGTCATTTTTTAGTAAAATTAGACAAAAAAATTATTTTTATTCCTTACAGGGTATGTAATTATTTTTTTTTATGCCCTTACAGAGGGTATCTTTGACCCTATCTATTCTTCCTATACCCTATATGTATGTATATCATGTCCATCTGTCTGTTTCGCCGCTCACTTTAAAAGCTATCCACTTTAAACTTAGCACACACACTTCTTTCCTTCTTATGTACATAAATCGGAAAAGCCGGGTCGGCTGACTATGTTGTTCAGTTGCCATTCATGCCATTGATAACTGATTGATGCCATAACTGCATTTAACTGATCTACTGATCTTAACTGCGAGGGTATATCAATTTTCTTTCTTGATTTTTTAAATCCGGTACTCGTAGCCTACAAAGCCCCGGTACAGGGAAGTATTTATTTTATTTTAAAACAAGAAACGAAGGCTATAGTCGAGTTTTCCGGTACTCATATCTTTCACACACAATTTAACTAACCCTTGAAGTTTAAACTTTAAACTTTAACTCTCAGAAACCAATTTTTGTTGCATACTTTGGCGTTTTTTACTGAATCAGTAGGGAAAAAAACTAAAAAGTCTATAACTCCTCTAAAAATTTTCCGATTTGTCAACTTGATTTTGATTTGTATGTGTCGCTTAGCCATTGGAACAGTTTGGCTTCAAATCATTTTTAAAAAACCTTAATGAACTGGCGTAACACGAGATTTTTATTTCGAGGATGGGAGTGGGAGTGGGCGTGGCAAAATATTGACACATACTTGATCTCCGCGGCTACCAAACGAGTGTAAGTTCCAAATCGGGTGGCTCTATTTCATATAGTCTTAGAGATCCACGAAAGATCTTAGAGAAAATGTTGAAACAAGTTGAACTGCGTGGGCATTATAGGAATCACCATGCCAAATTCTATAGCTTTATCTCTTATAGTCTCTGAGATCCACGTGTTCATACGGACAGACGGGCATGGCTATATCGACTCGGCTACAATATACGCTTGTGCTCTACGAGTACCGGGTATAAAAACAACAGAGTTATAGCATTTCCGATCAATCATTTCCAGTTATATGGGATCCCGGATGTTCCGACTTATATACTGTGTGCAACGGAAAGAAGGGTGTGTGCAAAGTTTGAAATCGAATATGCTTATATCAACTAACAGACGAATCTTTACTTATTTTTGTTTGACAGACGAATATGTATGCCTAGGTTATGTCAGAGTGCCCGTGAGAAGCGATGCGATAATATTGGGCGAGAACGAGCGATAAACCACTACAACCGTGAATAGTTAAAAAAACTTTTCTAGATGGTTTCGCAAGTTATTATACAAATTGTTTAACTCTCCTTTTTTCTTCCTACTGCAGTTAAATGGGTGAACGACAATATTTTTTTTAACACAAAGCAATTCATTAAAAAATATAACTGTGTAACTGCTTTTCGCAAAACTCTCACTCTGCCAGCTCGCTTTTCTCATCGCTTCGCTTTGCTTCTCTCGCGCACCCTCCTGCTATGGCTGACGGCGAAGCATATTTACACCAAGATTATAACAAATCGGAATGGATATTTTTCGTAGATTGCATAGGGGCCGATCCTTTCTTTTGCATGTATTGGCTTCCAGAGCAAAGCTTCTTCCATAAAACTTGCCACCGAATCAACAGGAGTTCCTATTATTCGGCCGATGCTACCTGTGCCGAGCCTACCAGCTCGGCATGATGCATCTTGACGTTTTATTTTATCGGAAATTCAAAAATCTGGTGCACCAACAACTAAAATAATGGTCACGGATTTCAGCAAGGCATTATTATTTGCAGCTGCACGATCTTTTTCATGCTTTTTGGACGTGAAAGACTTCATGAACAGATGTTTTGATATATGTAATTGTTTTAAAAAACTATTATTGGGTTTTGAAGCAAGTGAAACAATTTTACTTAAAGACTTAAGTAGAGATCCGGGCCGGGCCGGGCCTGTATCGATAAATACGGGCCTCGGGCCTAAAAATCGGAAACGGGCTTTTTCCGTGCGGGCCCGGGCCTTGGCAAAGAAGCCCGCCAGGCCCGTTGGTCCGGCAGGCCCGCAAACCATAGCAAAAAGATAAAAATTTGGTATTTTGCGTTTTTTTTTAGTTATTTATGAATAATGGTATTTTCGTGATGCGATATTTTTCGATATCGTCTCTATTGGTGACACTCACATTACTGATTGGATGTTTGGCGCACAACTAACGAAATTTCAATAAGTTAGTGCAAAAGTATGTCGAAGGCGCAAAGTCTGGAAGCTGTTCGCAGCAAAAATTCAATTGATTAAGAAAGACGACAGCAAAAGTGATGTGTGGAAAAAGTTCACACAAATAAAATATGAAAACAATATCGTAAATTTTGTTTACTGCACGGAGTGTAAAACTGCTCTATCATTCCAAGAAAAGGGCGGCACAGGAACATTAAGCCGCCACAAATGTGTTTTGAGTGCGTGTTTTGGCAAACACAGCTTTAAGGACATTGTGATTTCAAGAAAAAAACTAAGCACCACTGTCATGCTGGATGAGTACGCTAAACTCAAAGAGGATATCGTTAAGGAAGTCGCTGGACAGCATATGGCTTTCACTACTGATATGTGGACCGATGAGTACACTCAGAGGAGTTTTATACCATTAAGCGGTCATTACATTAACGATAATTTTGAGCTAAAGGTTGTATTGCTAGGGGTAAAAGAGTTTTTAGAGGACAAGAAGACTGGGGATAACATAATTGATCAAATTAAAAAATTAATAGACGATTTTCAGATAGAACAAAAATTAAATTCTTCAGTCTTTGTAACTGAAAATGGCGCCAATGTCGTGGCTGCATTTAAACAATTGAAAAGGCTCTCTTGTGCATGCCATAACTTAAATCTTGTAATGAACGATGTGCTGGAAAAAAATCCCATTCCAGACATAAAGTCTTTAATTGATTGTGCGAAAAAACTTGTTAAATACTTTCAAGCACTCAAATCTCAACAGCAAATTGCCAAAAACGTGAAGTGACTAGGTGACTAAGTGACTAGGTGGAATTCGATATTTATAATGCTTAACAGCATATATGAAGTTCAAAATGACGATAAACGTCTTTTAATTGAAAAAATTAGCTCCATCGAATAGCTTTTTTGGACTTTTCCATGTTGGAATCTATTTTGGAATTCCTTAAGCATTTCAAAGAATGCTCGGAAAAAATGAGTTCCGATAAAGAGCCGACAATCCACTTGTATCCTTTATGGTATTTCAAATTGGTGCAAATTTGCTCAACTGAACAAGTGGATTCCGCTATAATGATGGAATTAAAAAAGCAAACTTTAAAAAGTTTAGAAACACGATTTATGCCCACCACTGCGCATTTTGTTGCATTGTTCTTAAATCCACCATTCAAAGAAATACTTTTCTTATCGGAAGAAAAAAGAGAGAATATAATAGCAACTGTAAGAGCAATGCTTTCAGACATGCAATGTATTAAATCTCAGCAAACATTTGAAAAAAAATTTGTTGCAAGCGGAAATTTAAGTGAGTATTCGCAATTTATGGACTCTCATTTTTCAAAAAAAAAGAAGAACTGAAAAAAGTATTATTGATATTGAAATTGAAATTGAAAAATATATAAATACACCTAGCGAAGAAAAATGCATTTTAACGTTTTGGAAAAATGCAAACAATTTTTACCTTTTACAGACATTGGCTAAAAATGTTTTATGCATTCCCGCAAGCTCTGCAACAAGTGAGTGGTTGTTTTCCACATCTGGAAAAATACTTAACGAAAGGAGAACTAGACTAAAAAGCGAAAACTTAGACATTAGACTTTAGTCGTAGTCTACTCTGTTTCATATTATATCATATTATTATCTATAATAAGTTAAGAAAAATAAAGCACATAGTTGTTTCTTGAACATTCATTTTGATATTTTTTTTTTTTTTGGGCGAACCGGGCCGGGCCTGAAAATATGTGCTTCGGGCTTCGGGCCTTACGGGCCTTAAAATTGAGGCCCGTGCCCATCTCTAGACTTTAGACTTATGAAAGTCTTAAAAACAATTGAGGAAACACTGAGATCTTTTTTAATTGTTGAGCTTGGCGAATACACATAAGAAATAATTTTATTAATAATGAAATGAGCGAAGAAGGAATGGAAGGTGATGGATATGCGATTCTGCGTCTTACTTATAGATGACTTGGACTATTAAATTATATAAGAGGCAGAGAAAATCGGACTTGAGTTTTAAGATGGGAATATATGCATATGAAACAAACTCATACTAAATGTGCACAAAATGTGAAAGCTAAAAATCTACGGGAATTAATGTATCATTTACCTCTATGGACTGCTTTAATATATAAAACATGGGATATTGATATTAAAATAAGATCCTCGGCTTCAATTGAAGGATACTTCTCCAAATTGAAAGACATTGGACTTGACAAGCTACCAATTTGTGCGGATAAATTTATTTTACAACATTTAAACTTTTTTTCATTTAGCCCCGGACGCAACAAAATAACTACAAATGACTATTTTGCGAAACGTATAATATAATATTTTGGTTTAATTTATATCGAATAAACTCTCATTGTTATTGTAATATCCCATTGTAATAATATACATAATATTTAATTTATAATAAATAAATTTCTCTTGTAATACAAATACATGATTTTTGTATTTTTTTTTAAAGCAATACAACTTGGTGAAGTGGTTTTGAAAAATTTCTACAACTGGACCGTAGTAAATTTCCCTAATTGCCCTAATTGTTGCATAGAATCTTACGTTATTATACCCTTGCAGAGGGTATTATAATTTTGGTCAAAAGTGTGCAACGCAGTGAAGGAGACATCTCCGACCCTATAAAGTATATATATTCTTGATCAGGATCACCTCCTGAGTTGATATGAGCATGTCCGTCTGTCCGTCTGTCCGTCTGTCCGTCTGTCTGTCTGTTTCTACGCGAACTA